AATAACGACTGTAAATCCCCGTTACCCGAAGAGTTCTGTTATAGCACGGAGGCTGTTTTGAGTAAAGCCACGAGCATGGGGCGGCCGGCTCTCTCTCGGAATACTCGTAATAAAAGTTTGTGGGCACTGTTGCGCGCGTCCTGTAGCCGGTCAAAACGGGACGGGAATTTTAAAACGTTTTCCGTCCGCGCAGGACACGCCCCACGGCAACTTCATCACCCGATGCGCTCAACTCACCGACCACGTGGCTCGCCACGCATGTGCGCCTGTTGCCTTGGACGTTGATAAACAGGCGTCTTGTTGCTTTTCTTACCCGTAGTAGTCCAACCGGTCAGGGCGGGGCCAGACGAAGATTTTTTTTTCCCACAACGGTTCTATCTAGTAACATAGCGTAAGAATTTAGCGCCCTTCTGACTGGGCTGCTTCGATTTGCTTTGCCTTTGGACAAGAGAACAAACCGCCCATTTGTAAATGTTGTTGGTATTGGTGCGTTTGATGACCGCTAGATCAGTGCGTTTTTCTGAGGATTTTCACATGAAAACCGTTATCTTTTCCTCCAATTATTAACATATAATATTTCACTTAAATTTGCAATTCTTTCTGCAAAGTGTTTTATTTCATCTCATTCTTAAGTTGATGAGAGGGTCTGGTCTCGTTAAATATGTACATACGTACGTATGTACACGCACCTCGTTAGTGGCTTCGTCGCAGGAGGAAAAAGGAAGCGGAAGGGGCTACGACAGTACTTATAGTAATAGAGCTAGACGGTTTCTTATATAGTATAAGGGCTACGGACAGTTATAGAGCTTACGTACTGCGTACTCGCGTTGACGCTTAGTAGTTAGAATTACTAGTACAGTTAGTGTGTAGTGAGCCTAGTGTTAACCCTGAGGTAACGAAGTAAACTAATCGCGACACGCACGAAATAACAAAACTCGGGGAGCTTAATAAAACTATAAGCCTAGGACGTCTCTCATAAGCATGAAGATGAAAAATAACACATTTGCACAAAAGAATTGCATTATAGTAATCATTATTGTTTATTAATAAATTGGAGTAAAATATGTGTATTTCATGGAAAATACATTTCAGAAAACTATTACTTATCCTTAGCGGTTCACTAACCAAAAAACAAACATATTACAACGGGAAGCGTTTGTTCTCTTGTTCTTGAAGGCTTTTCTTTCAAGTCAAATAGCAAATCAGTTCAAGTGAAACGGTGGCGATGATATTTGGGGTTAATTCACTTCAAAACCATTTTTGTTTTAAAGAAAACATACTAAAAAACTACTTTAACCTACTTAGAGGGAAAAGTTCGGGGGAAAGTTTTTGGTAGATAATTGGGATTTTGGCTACAAGTCATGGAGGCGGACACCCTTGCCAAATTTTCCAAGCCCAATCAGAAGGCGCCTAATCCTTCCTATGTTATTACCGTTGGGAAAAAAAAATTCGCGGCCCGGGCCGGTCTTACAGAGTACCACGTTTGAACATAGGTTCTTACGGATCGAAAGCCATTCTGCACGATCACATGACAGGTTTTCGACACGGGATTCACTCTGCGCGCCTTGACAAACGGACGGCAGTCGACGTATTATAAACCACCGCCCGGGTTGACTTCACGCCCCCCGCCCCCAGCACCAACAACGATCTTCGTTCTCGCTCCCCGTGTGTTTCCTGCGCCGGTTCGGCTTCATTCATTATTCATGCATTTTGGAAACGCATTCACGATGATTCGATCAGTGTGCAACGGGACTGTAGTTGCTGCTGCTTGAGTCGCTCGATTCGCCTGTGTACAAGGTAAACGTCACGTATTGACCATATAATCTGCTAATTATTAATATAATGGACCAGGGGCTCGTTGTTCGAGAAACATCGTAAACTTAATGTAATGTTAATGCCAAGAGTGAGACTTAGGACTATAGGGCCGACGCACACGCACACACACAGTGAACCAACACGCACACGCAACACGCACTTTCGCACGCCTCGCACGCACTCGGCACACACAGTGTCATACTCAAACGCCACACGCAACCACGCACGCTCAAACAAGGACACCAACAAACACGCACGCACGCGGCACACGCACACCACCCAGTGACACAAGTCGACACGCACACCGCACACGCCACTCGCACTCGCAAACTTCGCACACGGCACTCGGACACACAAGTGACCACTCCACGATACGCACACACAGTGCACCCCAACCGACACGCACACGCACACGTACACACAGTGACACCACTCACACGCAGCAGCGGCCACACACCGGTTTGAACACACAAAACACGACACGCACTCCGCACTCGGTACCAAACACAGTCTTGAACACTCCACACGCACGACGCGGGGTACGGCATGCGCACACGGTACACGCCACGACACAAGCACAACACAGAACAACGGCAGGGCCCGCGCACACGCACCGCACGACACCACACACGCAAGCACGCCACACGCAGACGCACTCGGCAACTCGCACAACCACCAGTGCACATCTCTCACACGCACATCACGCACGCATTAAGGCACACGCACACGATACACGACCACACAAGGGACACACAACACAGCACGCGCTCACACCGCACGAACGCACGCACACGCACAGCGCAGTGACCACACGTCGGACGCACACGCACAACACAAAAACACGCATTTGCACGGCACGCACATGCAACGCACAACGCACTCGCACACACAGTGGACACACTCAAACGCTCACAGCGCCACACGCACACGCAGTTGGGCACACTCAGGGACGCAGACGCACCACGCACACTCACGCAGCAAGCACATGCAACACGCACATGCAGCAGACGCACCACGCCCGCATCACATTGCACCACGCACACGCACACGCAACACACAGTGACACCACTTTGACACGCACACGCAACACGCACAACACGAGGTGGACACACACAAAAACACCGCGCACACGCAACACGCAAACCTACGGCACACACAGGGACACACTCACACCACACGCACACACACGCACACCGGAAAGCGACACACAACAACGAGCGTTGCGCCGGGCTCGGGCTATGGCCCGTTTAGCAAACGTGCCCCACATGAGTCTAGGACATATTTGCTCGCACCCCAACCCTAAGACCCAGCCCAAAAATTCCCCGCCCCCTCACCTCCCCCAACTCCCAAAAAAGAAACAAAATCGTTTCCCCTGCCTTCCCCCTCCTTAGTAATGGCCCTCCCCCAAATCTCCTTGGCGGGTTCCCCACCTCCCAAAACACCCCCAAAATTACCCCCCTTTCCCCACCCACAACATTCTCTTCCGTCCTAAGGGAATGGGCCCCCCCCATAACGCGATTCCCCCGCCCAAAATGCCACGAAAATGCCTCCCCGGAAATGGCACCCCAAATAACCCCAAATTGGGACACCCCCAATAAACTCATTCCCCCAAATCCCCCCCCAAATGAACACAAGGCTATGAACACAGGCCCCAACCCCAATCCCCTAAACCCAAAATCCCCGT